GTCTCTGGGCTAGACGAATGGCGACAAGCGCTTCATAACACTGGTCGTCGACCCCTCCTCACTCACCTCAATGCCGACACAACATGGCTGATCCAGATCCCCCGCCCAACTCAGATTTCCCGGCCGCCGCAAGTGCGGACACACTTCAACATTCTCATTGACCCCTGGCTCCAAGGTCCCCAGAGCGATGTGGCTTGGTGGTTCAGCACGCAGTGGCACGTCGTTGCTTCAAGCGTTGACACATTGGCCAAGCTCAATGAAATTATTTACCAACTTGAGCAACCAGGTGCCAATCGAGAGACTTCGAGTGAGGGTGGACACAATATGATCGATGTTGTGGTCATCTCACATGAATTCACTGACCATTGTCATCAAGCGACACTCCAGGAACTTCCAAAAAGCACGCCAGTGATAGCCACAGACATCGCATCTGATCTGATCCGGAGCTGGGGTCATTTTGACACCGTCGTCACTGCCCCAGGGTTAGAAAAGGATGCTCCATGGACAAGCTTGAAGCATGTATGCTCTTGTCTGCCCGACTGGCTTGCGATTGGCAGGGTTGTCACTCCAGGAAATTCACTCTATTACCATTCTGCCATACTCATAGCCTTTGACCTATGCGATGACGGGGAGCAACAGAGAGATCTCGGGGAAGCTGTAATATACTCGCCCCACGGAATCTCTGGAGAGGATCTTGCCTTCGTTCCTTCGTCTGGGGTGAAAACCCTCGCACTTCTTCATGGATTGCACGATGTCAGCATTTGGATGACAAAACAGCTCAACTTGGGCGCCCTCAACGGCATTCGTGCTGTCGAGGCAAGTCGTGCAAGGTATTGGATCGCCACCCATGATGAGATCAAGAAGGGCGGCGGCTTCATTGCGCCATTGCTTCGAAGGGTGCAATATACCCCTCAGCAGGCTATTGAATATGAGAGGAAGCGGCTTCAAGATGAGTGTGATTTACCGACGTATACTTTCAAAGAGCTTGGATCGGGTGACGGTCTTATATTGAGATGATCTATATATTTATAATACGATTCATGGCCGTTGTTTCGGACATTATACCCTGTCAACCGCGAGGTTCATCTTTTCAGAGAGCATCCTTTGCTTCCAACTCGGCCTGCAATTGCGAAACCGTTCCGATGGCGGCAAACGTACCCATGTGCATAGCTTGGATGACCGCGGCTATGGGTGTTGCCATGTCGCCTGCCGCAAAGCATCCCTTGACGCTCGTCTCCTTGAATGGCTCATCTACGACGACATGTCCTAATGGGGTCGTCTCCAGCCCCAGCTGCTCGGTCAGGGATTTTGCCCGCTGCTCGACGGATGGGTGGCTAACAATGAAGCCCTCGACCCTGCTCGTTCCGTCGGTGAAGTTGACGCGCACTTGGGGCCCTCCGTCTACCAGTGACAGGGACTCGATGGGTCGTGGATCCAGGGCAATCTTGCTGCTCTTGATGTGGGCGGGAAGCGATGCGGCCAATGTCTCGTTTCCATTCGTGTATAAGTTGACCTGCCCAGACAGCCGTTTCGCCAAGTGGGCGACGTGGAGGAACATGTCTGGTTCGGCAATCCAGCCCGTAGCGAGGGCGCCTACCGAGTCGGCGCCGCGTTGCTCATATCCTTCGCAGTACAGGCAGTGGAATCTACGCATCATGAGTGTGTTAGCCCCAAGAACATGGAAAGGATAAACGAGGAGAGGTAACTTACACCCCACGACCCCAACATTCGGCATATCCTTTGACTTCCGCCTCAATTTTGTCTCTCACGCCAGTTGCGAGGGCGAGTTTCCTGCTCTGGTACACAACCCCATCCTCATCGACCGCCTCGAACAGATCCTCGGCCTCGAGCTTGCGCACGGACTTGACGGTGCCCTTCTTGTACTCGACTGTGTCGTACCTCGCAGCCAGGTCCTCTCGTAGCTTTGCCCGGAATGCGGACGGGTCGGCATGGTCCCAGCCGGGGACATTGTGCATGTGGCTGGTCCGTTCGTTGCGGTAGACTCCCGAGTCGAAAATCAGGGCCGTGTGCAGCTGCCGGGCGAGACTTCCGGCAAAGGTGAGACCTGCCGGTCCGCCCCCGATGATGAGGACGTCGAAGATCTTTGAGGCGCGCGCTGCTGCCATGTTTTTCCTTTGTTGGGTGGTGTATGTATGTAACTTCTCTATGATTTAGCGTGTAAGTGGGAGCAATCAGTCAACAGGTCGATGACAAATTGTGTAATATATGCGACTGTAAGCTTTATGATATCTATTAAATGATTTGAAGGTGCGTTTCGAAGTGCGCACCAGCCAAGACATTAAATACAAAAATTTCCAAGAAAATGCGCCGAAGACAAAGTCGCCGAGGCCAGTTCGGGGCCGTCCTCATAACCCTCGGACAGCTGTATCGTATGAACCCGAGGAGCAACGCCCAGCCTGCCCTCCTGAGTTAGACAGCCAAGTCCTCTGAAACTAAAGACCTAGTTAAAGACCCTGTCCGATCCGTCTTTCTTAATCAGCTTAGTCAGACCGCTAAGTCATTGATCTACGGTGTATTTATCCTGCCTTTCTTCCTATGGATACTGTATATATATTATTTAAACCTCAAAACTCTATCAAGACCATCTCATTAGCTGAATAACTACGTTATTAATCTATATTGTATCTATTCTATTATTTTTCTTATTCAACCACTATATTATAAAGAGCTAAAAGCTATATTTAGTTATAAACATCGAAATTCCCAAGCAAATGCGCCGAAAACAAAGTCGCCGAAGCCAACTCGGGGACATGCAGATATGTCTCCGGGTGCTAAAAGCTTAATACCATTGCCAAATTTGCACGTTATAATCTATAGATGGAATCTTCCAGAAGATAGATCCCAAGTCGTAAGATCTTAGCTCATTAAACATGAAGTCGGAACCTTTTTCTCTCGCTTGTACTCTTCCCTTCTCTTCGCTCGTATTCGATGTTGAGGGCGTCGACAACCCCACAACTAAGGTAGTGTATGATGAGAATGTACCTGAGTGGAACAATAGAGATCTGGCCACCACCTTACCCCATTGCTGGTCATTAATCTTGGTGCTATAGTATCATTTTCAATGTTGGCCACGAGAAAATCCTCCAGAATGTCTCCAGTAATAGACATTCGCCAATAGCGAGAGGACTGGAAAACATTGATGGTTTGAACTCATTCTCACTACCCTACATACAAGTCAATGCCTGCAAAGCAGTCCTAAGGGCAAGCGAAGCTGCATAGGGGAGTCAGCGCGAATAGGATCTAACTTACCTGCTCGAGGCTGCTCGAGGCAGCAGCTGATGATCGCATTTAACGTCATCGCGGCAAATAAGTTCTGGCTAACCTGCTCGAAGCAGCCCAAGGCTACAACTATTGATCGCATTCACAAAGGCCGAGGTGGATAAGATCGAGGGGGGGTCTAACTTCCTGCTCGAAGCTGCAGCTGTTAATCGTATTCATAAAGGTCGCAGCGGATAGGATCAGAATTACCTGGCTGCAGCTGTTGATAACAACATACGCGCGTACATGGCCAGCGATAGCAACTACAAAGTCATAAAGTCACGAAGTCACTCAGACCAATAGACAGTCGATAATTCAAAAAAAACTAACCAATTACCAGTAGTATCGCGAATCACATAACTGCAAAACGTTCCATTATAGAAGCGAATCTAGAAGCTGCGCTCCGGCTGTTGCCTTCACACATCATCAAGCTTCGCTTGACAAAATAGCGCCAATGGACCCGTGAGAGCCTCCAGCGGTGTGCCTGGAGTGGCGTGGCGGCCTACAAACCGGCAGGGTTTTGAGGGGCAATCCTCAAGATAAGAATCCGCCTCGGTGGGTATACGCTGGGCACGCCCTCGAGAGCTTCTGCAAGGTGCGTAAGTAGGCGAGCATGTCGTTCCTGGGCATCGGCGTATACACAATAGCACATTGAGGAGGGCAGCAGATAGGGATATACCCAACGATAAAGGTATCAGCAAGCCCAGAGCAGAATTAGGCTGACATTCTCATGTGTTGCTCCTCAGCCAGGTCTGCGAATGAAGAATGCGGTGGTCAAAGTTGGCGGCAGAGCCTTGTCGAAAGGTCTTACTCCGCCAAGGGGCGAATATACTCGAGGCCCTTATTTCGGTAGTAGCTAGTATACGGTGAGAATTGGGGTGAAAGGAAAGAAAGAAAGATTAAATAGAGACCTGTTAAGTTACTATCAACAAGTAACCCGAATTAGTATAGTAACAGCGCGAGCAGAACTCTGGCCAGTGCTGGAAGGATCTACTTCTTTCCCCTTTCATAATGTCATTCACCCTGACCCTCATGAATAGGATTAACAGCTGCAGCGTTGAGCAGGCGAGCCAGACCCTTCCTCGATCCTATCCACCCCGGCCCTCGCGAATGCAATCAGCAGTCGTAGCCTCGGGCTGCCTCGAGCAGGCAGGTCAGTCGGACCTTATTCACCGCGATGGCAGTAGATGCAATTACTAGGATCCAAACTGTTCTCCATTTGTAAGACTAACCCCAGCCTACTAAAGGTGGGTGAAATTCCTTGGAATTGGCGCCACCAGGCCCAAACTCCTCCTCCTCGCTGCTTGTTTCCGATTGTAGAAGATTTCTCAAAAACAAGTGCCGTGCACGCCAGGGGTGATGGGAATATGCCGGTAGCCAAAGTGCCGAGCCAGGTCGGATCCGGCACGGGCCCTCCCTGTAGAGCCGCCGGGTCGCTGGGATAGAACAGGACGAGATTATATTTACATGTAGTAGAAGCACAAAGGGCTAACTTAATAAGCGGAAATCATTCTTGCTACGTATCTTGGTTTAGTTTGAATCCCTGCCTAGCAGCAGGGAAACTGAAGATAAAAACTATATAAAGTTCGGTATAGACTGATCAATGAACTAAGAAATAAAAGACATTATCTTATACTTGTTTTCTCAGTAATCACTTTACTTCCCCCCCAAAAAAACCGACTTTACTATAGTCTTCTCAGCGCTTCCAACTCTCGGTCACCATGAAGTTCTTCCCGTCCGCCGCCCTTTTCCTCCTTGTTTCAGGAGCAGTTGCTCAAGGTCCGACTACCGGAGAAGAGGAACTGGCTGCCCGAGGCGAACGCCTCATCGCTCGCGGCGAGTATCTTATCGCTCGAGGCGAGAAACTCATGGCCAGAGGGCCCAAAACTACTAAACCTAAAGAACCTCCTACTGGTGGCAGGGGAAAAAAGCGTGGCCCATCATCTCGGACAAATTATGACAATCCCAACCATCCAGGCAATGCCCCAAAAGGGGTAAGTTATTAACTACCAACTTCTACGCATACAACCAGCTAACTATAATACCTCAAGGGTTGCATACAAACTCCTCCCTACGGCGAGTGCCTTTTGCATGATGGAGGGAAACTAAAGCCCATTCCTTGTGGTTCTGATAGTCCGGTAAGTGGGCATACCAGTATTTGCTTATCAGTTCAGAAAAATACTAATAACTTATCAGTGCCGGGTCCCTAATCACAAGTGCACGTGGACTGGAGGCAATGCCGTTTGTGATAAATAAGGCTTAACTTTCAACGACTTACACATCAGACTGTTCTCGGACAATCGGAAAAAGCAACAGTTTCAAGGCAGCTGCATCGCATCTGGATCGAGCAGTTTCCCTGAACTTACTAGATTTACCTGGATATCTTAACTCCCCCTCCCCTAGAGATCTCTGATCTCTATATAAACCTTATTTACTTAGAAAAGATAGCTCTGGTAGTTTATCGGTAAATCAATAGCCGAGTTAATTGACTAGAAATTTACCTATTATCATCCTATAGTATTTATATTAGTAGTATATATACTCCAAGCCTATGTAGTTGCACAGGCCATAAGACTCCCTGATCCTTATATAACTTAGTTATAAGGGAGCTATTACTTGAGTTGACATGCCCGCCCATTTATTCAAAGGGTTCTCACGGGCCGGCCTGCGAGATAGGTGACTCATCTATCAAGCTACATATAGTATTATGTAAAATAGCCTTTATAAAAGATAGAAATGAAATCCATTAGATTGTGTTAAATTGCAAGGTTTAAGAAAATGATAATGCTACGTACTTCTCAGGTTGGTACCTCACTAAGATTCCAGGCAAATGTGGGTGACCACATTTAGGGACATCCTGAAGAAACTTATCCCGGAGTATCCTGACAGATTCATTTTAGGATTATGTTATTAACTCTATTTCAAAGGTGCAGAGCATTAGACTTGTTAAAACACTAGTGCATTGAAAGAAATATGATGAGCATTGCGCTTGACGCGGTGGTATCTATTGTATGAGCTTCACACGTCTAATGAACCATTCCTGTGACCATGGCTAATAAGAATAGAAAAGTAGTTTGAAGAAAAGATATAACATGTTCATAAGAAAGGAATTAAAAAAGCAACGCTTCCTGAAAACACCGGCTGGATGCTCGCAAATCCGCAAATAAGAGTGTGATGTGAGCCCAAACTCCTCCGACCATCCCATCCCGTTGAGAATGGCACTGTACAATACAGAGTCCCGCATCGCACCTCACACAGCGCGCGATGCTCAAGCGTCTGCAGTAACGCGAGCACCGAACGCGCCAGAGATGCGCGCGCAGAACCCACCCGGAAGAAACTACGTCCCCATCACTTCTCATTTTTTCCTCAAATCCCCCGTGGCGCCTGTAAGTATATACTGGGGGTTTATGAGGACCAGTCCGAGGTGAGGCTCTCCCACCATTGTGCTTACCCCGGGCCCTTGCCTTGTCACCCCATCGTAGAAGGGGAACGCAGGAGGGTCCCGAGAGCGGACTTGCTACGAGTCGTCACCCAGTAGAACCCAGACGCCTGAAGACGAGGTGGCTGCAGGCGACTCGTCGTGTACCTCCCGCTGGGAGGGCACGTCGCCGGAGTCGTCGAGTTCGCTGTCTGAAAAATAATCGTACTCTGAAAGAATGTCTGTCACCAAGTCGGGTGGCTGCGAGGTGTCCACGTCAAAGGAAGGCTGGGAGGTCTCCAGCTCGTAGACGACGCGGAGAGGAGCGGCCTCTTCCTGGTCAGAGGCGTGTGCGGGAGCGGAATGTTGAATTGGCCAACTCCCGGCATCGGTTGAGTCGGCGGAGGCGGAGAGATACTGGGCAAGGTCGCCGTCCTTGCCCAGGTCGGCGAAGGAGAGGTCCAGATTGAGGGGCGCATCCTTTCCGTAGCCCTTCGACTTGCCCTGCTTTTGGCTGCGGCGGGCAGGTCGGATGGAATAGATGGGCACGTCATGGTGAATGTTATTGAGTCCAAACGAGGCCGAGTCGTTGCGGGCCTTGTCAGCATCGTCGTAGAGAAGGCCCATGCGATACAGTTCAGCTACCTGAGTGTCCTCGTCCATGGGACCGGCGGGGAGGCGGCCGATCCGGATGGCTCGTTGCCTGAAAGTAGAGGCATCGCAGAAGGCATCCTCCCTCTCGAGACTGGGAGTCCTCTGGAGAGAGCGATGGCGGTCGCAGGGGAGACGGGCTGAACTGCGAGCCAGAGCTATTGAGTCATCCTGGAGGTTGGCGGACTTCCGGTTGTGATGAGAGCGAGGCGCGGCAGAGAGGCCATGGGCGGCACTAACAGCACGCTCGTGACGGGCCAGAGACTGTTCAAGGTGCAGGCGACGACCACCTGATCCCTGAGGGCGGCGATGCTGGGAGCCCTCTGAGCCGAAGACGAGGTCGTAAGAGGGCTGGTTGTGGGAGCAAGGCAATCCTATTGCCTGGCACACATCCTGCTCGGCCGGATGCTCAGCAGCATATCGCTTGGCGGCAAGACGAACCCGATGGTTCAGAGTCCGTCTGCGGAGAGACTTGTGATTTGATCTTGCGGAGGAAAAGGGATATCGCTCCGTGAACAAGAGGTCAGGATCAGATGCAGAAGCGACGAGAGTATCCATGATGGGCCGGGTTATAAGGGTTTTCTGCGCAGCGGCACAGATGCGTAAAAGGCGATGGTTTCCGGTGGAGATGTAAGTTGGAAGTTTAGGCAATCGAGATTCAAAATGTCATGCACAAGGCGTACGCCTGACCGCGCAGAAGGAGGCTGATCAGGCTAGTGAAATTAAGCTGGAAGCTGTGGAAAGACAAGGAATCATCTGGGCAGCGCCGGAAGTCGAGACTTGTTATTATAACATTCGGACTGCGCAGACGGGCAACACACCTTTGTCTGGGGTTGGCGAATCGCGCAGGCAGCCTGGACGGGCGCCTGCGTTGATTGGCGGGTGGAGCAAAGAGTCATCGTCACAGGGGCCGGAGACAGGGACGGGACAGGGGGCGTGTGAGTAGCGAGGCAAGCTGAGGCCGATGGGAAGCACGGCTTGCAGCAGGCACGGATAAGGAAGTGCGAGCGTTGGTCGGCTGACCGTGAGTCACCGGGATGGATGACGATATGGGAGGGTGGGTAGCCAAACAGCATCAAAGGAAGCGTGCGCGAGCTGGTGGCGCACGCCAGGCCATGCTTCAACACACGGCTAACTAGATGCGTACGTGATATTACTGCTGGTGCTCCAAGAAAAGAAACCAGAAGACGCAGATTAGGCTGACAAACGGCTCGTCGACTCAGCCTTCTGGCCGGACCGGAGACGGCCAGCGACGGGACTTGGTGGGAGCAGCAGGCCAGACCAGTCTGTCTCGGGCTTTCGGGGAGTGCGATGGAGAGATCTGCTTCGGGTTCCAGCATACCAACCGAGCGGTTACATGCGTACCTTCCGGCCATCGATATGCCATAGATACGGATGCGCTTCATTGCCTTGATCATCGTCCGCTGCGCCCTGATTGCCATGGCAAAGTGCAGTGGGGCGCCCAACGCAAAACATGAATGGCGAGCGAATGATGGCGATTCGCACTCGATGATGGCGATGACGCCAACTCTGATTTAAGCTATGCACCTGATTGCCCCAACAACGTGCGGCTGGGGTGCATCCCAGGTCCACCCGTGCTGGAGTGTTTGAAGATTGGTTTGAAGCGCTGGTGTGAGTGCCTAGCGCAGCATCGCACGCATACAGATAGCCAAACGTGCAGCTGGGCAGCCTGGGGTTAGGGGGTCCAGGGCTAAAGATTGGGTCAGTCACAGGGCTTCCGCCTGGAATTGCAGCATGTCAGTCACCGGACCCCAGCTGAGCCCAGACCCCGGTTGCTTTGCTCCAGGGCTCGCCATCCACTATCGAATCGATCAAATTACTTACACACTCTCCGTTCAAACAGGTCCGGATGCCCTTCGGTAATGATGACGAGCGATGACTACATATGTGCTCGAAACAACCGAAGCAACCAAGGCAGAGCAAGAGGCTCGAATAGTCACTGATCTCCCAGTGTATCCTTTGCTCCAAAGGCCATTCGGTCTCTGTTTTCCTTATCTCCTGGCTTCGGCGAATCCCCCCCCGCTATCTGTTTCGGCTTCCATCACATCCAGATAAGCACACACCATGTTCTCATGCTCATCACGCTTGCGGCAGTAATCGGTTGACCAAAACAGGCAAACACTCTAACCAAGCCTCACCAATTAACTCTGCATGTGCCTTATCTCTAAGTCGAGATACTACGCTGGGCTTGAAGGCGCTAACTCAAACTCGCTCATCCGTACATACATATTGACGTCCCATTGCACCTCCCTGCCTCAGGTAGTTAGCCAACTTGGTTGTTTATCGAGGCGCGTGGCCCCCCTCACTCTCCGTTTCAAGCCATTAATGCAAGCTCATTTTGTGACGGCTTCAGCGGCTGTAACATCACTGCCTTTATTGTCTCAGCGGCATGTCATGCACAGCTGTTCTGCTGCTGGAAAGGCAGCCCAAGGGTGATGTGATACATGCGTCCAAGCAAGACAAGCCCCAGGCCTAGAAGCCGGTAGCCGGGCCTTGACCATTACTCACATCCACACATATGTCTCTCGCCTAGGCAGTGAGAGAGTCTGCCTAGGATCCCGAAAGAGTACGAGATCGGTTATTGTTCCACCAGCAAGGCTGGAATAAGCGACACGCCCGGGCTTGAGTCACAACAGTGACACCCATGCCATACCGGAACCTTGGAACACTGAAGTACCCCGGATATATACTGTCATAGACTCATGAATCGCTTAGTGTTTGGTCAGATCGTGCGATGATACATTCTAAGGGATAGTGCCGAAGGAGGAAACCTTCCAGTGCTTCCTAAGGCTCCAAACCAACTTCAACACCCACTCACGGCAATCATTGTCCCGGTTAACTGAACAGTGCATACTCAACCTCGGCTCTGCTAATACTGTGCATTATTTATGTATCCTTGAGTTTCATCCTAATATTCCAGAGGGTGGAAGTACCAGGCTTGCCAGGCTCATTCTAATGCAGCACAGGTCGTCATGGCGCTTTCCCATTGTTCCTTGGCCTAAGCGTAGACTGACAATGCAGCAACAATTTTAAGCCATGTAATTGTTTAATATCATCCCTTGCATAAGAATGCGATATGAGTTCAGTTACTTTGTTGATGGAAGAAGCCTTCGCCTCTCTCCACTAACAAAGGCGCCGCCATAGCATAATGGTTCGGCTCATGCAG